CTGAAGCTCTCCCATCTCTTCTAGAACTTATATCATTAAATCAAGTGGATGGCTTTGATAGCTTCAAACCGGCTAGTAGCTTTCAGACTTTCTCTTTATCTGCTACGGTACGTTCCAGCATTAGTTTCGGGAAAAAAGAACAGGATTTTAATTAATATTGTCAGTTTTAGTATTATTTGTTCTTTTAATGTTGTTTTTTCTGTTATTAGTATTGCTGCTACTGTTACTACGTACTCTTCTCGGTTATCACTCTCATACGCAAAAAAAAAATTGAGTTCTTGTTCATCTAAGAGGAAGGAAAGGAATAAATATGGTAGATTCTAACATCTTTCCTGTAAAAATTCACGCACTAGGGAACTGAAACATCCGATGCCCAGAATGCTGCCAATGAACCTCTGTCTATTGATAATCTGATGCATGCTGTTTCAATCAGCATGCCAGCTTCTCCCATGCAAGCCACCTTAATGAGCAATGAAAATAGAGTTCTTTTTGTTGGGCACGGCGGAGATGATTTTGCGGATGGAATTGCAGAGCCCTCAGCTGCATCTGAAACACTAACAAAACAAGTAAAATTTCATTCTCAGCCAATGCCAAAAGGAGCTGCAATCGAGCAGCCAGTGAACTTCAGCCACCATCCCCGTATCAGAAGGTTGAAGGACAGGAGATTTGATGCTTTCAAGACCTGGCCAGGGAAACTTGAGAAGCAGCTATCAAATTTGCGTGGAAAGCCGCAGGAGCGTGGGCCAGATCAGGAAGTTCCCCAGAATTCTGAGAATGAAGCTTTGCCTGTAGACAGATACTTCGATGCACTGGAAGGACCTGAGCTGGACACCCTCCGGGTATATGTTTATCTTCCTTGTTCTTCAGGCCAACATAAACATTTTGTCACACCCCAACCCATAGATTTAAGCATAACAAACGTCACACATCTATAGGATAACTTCATAAATATACAACGTTCTCTACCTGTATATCAATACATTCTCCCATAAAGTTTTAATATAGCCTTGCAACTTTAAAATAAACAATTCCCTTAACAAATCTTAATAGTCTCCAAATAACAGAATCAAATCTCTCAACCAAACATAAAGTGATTGACATCTTATTTCGAAAAACCAAATAAGCTTCCAATTGAACTATTGCTAAATTTCTGCCAATTTATCATAATGATTTCTCAATCCCCTTGCAAATTCCAATGCTCATACTTCTTCACTTAAAATGAGATGAAATTTGAAAACATGAGCTTAAGAACTCTGTAAGTAACATACTCATCTATCACAACCAAGCATAGAAATTTAAAATTGAATTTTGATTGAAAATGAACAATAAAAGTACATTTATTTCCTCAAAACCAGAATATTTCATTTTTTGTCCCTTATGGCTGTGTAACAACCCACAATCCACAATCAATGATACTCAATCATCAATCCACAATCAATGATACTCAATCATCAATCCACAATACACAATCCATGGTCCACAATCTATAATCCATAGATCTTGGGTTTATCATAATACCAATAACTCAACTCTCTCTCAAGAGTTAATCATACACCCAAGACAAACAAAAGAAACTATTCCAAAAATAACAATTTCAATAATATTGGAGAAAAAAAATTTAAATTAACCATCTCCACATGGCCACAATCTCATCTCAAACTTAAATAAAAATATTATGTTTGATCTACAAATCATCTCATTCCATCATTAAAAACATTTTAGTAAAAATCATTTTCCAATAAATAAATAAATCAATCAAAATTGAACAAAATCCATTTAAATCTATTGATTTACCTTAAAAACACTGGAGGGTATAGTTGTTTATTTCAATAATTATCTCTTAAAATGCAATTCCACACAATCAATTGAAATCTAAAAGAACATCAAATAAACATAACTCAATCACCCAATAAACATTTGCCCAATATTTCTCAAGTATTTACATGTAGTGATCCAGTAAACCACACCACTAATGTTATATTCCTCAAACCCAGCTATTCCTTCACACACTTTTCTAAACTAAACACCTAAATAAATAATTCCCTTGAAAATTCCCCATGCCACATCATCCAAATCAACAATTTAATATCAATTTTAAAATCTAATAGTTAAAGTAAAATCAATCTTACTAATCAGGCAATTACCCACTATCTTCATTCCTATATTCCAAAATATTTCACCCATTTCCCCTTCTGGTGGTAAATTGTGTGATTGAGGAATCCCTAATAAGCAAATTATGACAAAAGCTTTTAAATTTTCCTCTCATCATTCTTCTAATCATCAAGATTTAAGCTTAAGAAATAAATTATCTTTGATTGACCTTGGTTTAGCCAGATCCTTTAAGCAGGTTCCCCTTACCGATGAGAGGAAAAAGACATTCCTAATTTCCCAGAAAAAGAAAAAGAAAAAAAATGAAACTGCCAACTATTCTACTTTGGGTTTTAACAAAAGGAAATACCACCACTTAGTTCCTGTGATATTTTTTCAACTTAGTTAGTTCTTGAGGAATTTTTACAACTTAATCCCTAAAGTGCTCACCTCATTATAATTAAACCCCATATTTAATCTTATCACAGATACACCCTCTAATAACTTAAATAACTTATTTAAATCTTAAATAAGTAATCCTTGGGTATTACACATTTCCTCTCTTTCCCAAGGTCTAACATGAATTTTTTTATTTTTCACTTTATAGCCTTTAGAGGAAAGTGTGCTGCCAGATGACATGACCTGGCCATTCCTTCTCCGATATCCTATTTCTTCATTTAGTATCTGTCTAGGAGTAAGTAGCCAAGCCATTATGTGGAAAACACTCGCAACAGCTCCCTCAACAAAATTCCTCCACATAAGCCTGGAAGTAAACCGCATCCTTTGGTTCATATCCCTTGTTCTTGTAGCCATTGTTTCATCCATCTACCTTCTCAAAGTGATCTTCTTCTTTGAAGCTGTTCGCCGTGAGTATTTTCACCCTATTCGTGTCAATTTCTTCTTTTCCCCTTGGATAGCCCTTCTGTTCTTATGTCTTGGAGCGCCACCTTCTATTGCTAAAAACCTTCCTGAAGCTCTTTGGTATGTCCTCATGGTTCCAATCTTCTGTCTAGAGCTTAAGATCTATGGTCAATGGATGTCTGGTAGACAGAGGGGGCTTTCCAAGGTGGCCAACCCGTCAAACCATCTCTCAATTGTTGGCAACTTTGTGGGAGCATTGTTGGGTGCCTCAATGGGACTAAAAGAAGGGCCTATTTTCTTTTTTGCTATGGGGTTGGCTCATTACATAGTTCTATTTGTGACTCTATACCAAAGACTTCCAACCAATGCGACGCTCCCAAAGGAACTCCATCCTGTATTCTTCTTGTTTGTTGCAACTCCAAGTGCTGCTTCCACTGCATGGGCAAAAATTCAAGGCTCTTTCGATCATGGATGCCGAATTGCTTATTTCATTGCTTTGTTCCTCTATTTTTCATTGGTCAGTTTCCTTACATATTT